TTCTCCCTCCTCCCTCCTTTTCCCTCCTCCTCCTCCTCCTCCTCTTCCTCCTCCTCCTCCTCCTTCTCCCTCGTCCCTCTCCCCCGGGACCTCCCGCTGAAACGCTTCCCCCCTTTTCCGCGCGCAGGAGGAGCGCGCGTGGGCGGGACGCCTGCGCGCCGGCGGGGTGCCCGAGCGCTGGCAGCAGGCCGCGCAGGCGCTGCTGCCGGCCTTCCCCGAGGGGGAGGCGTCGGCGGGCAGCGCGGCCGGGCCAGGCCCCGCGCCGTGCGGCGGAGGCAGAAGGGGTGGACACGCCCATGGGCGGGCATTGCACGTGCTCGCATTGGAGCCTCGTCGTAGCCTGCGCGATCGACGCCCCTGGACGCCCGTAGTGCTCCCCCCTCTGGGCGATCCACCCCTCTGCAGCCGCCCTGCCACGGCTGCTGCCGCTGCTACCGCCGTGTCGCCTCCCCCGCCTGACCCGCCTCCGCCGCCCTCGCCTCCGCCTCCTCCGTCGCCTCCTCTGCCTCCGAAGCGTCATTCTCGTCCACCTCCTCCTCCTCCTCCTCCTCCCCCGCCCTCCCCTCTTTACCTTAGTCAACTCGTACCCCTCTCCCTCCCCCTCCCCCTCCTCCTCCCCCTCCTCCTCCTTCTCCTTCGCCTCCTCTTCGCTCCCCTCCCCGCCCCTTCCTCATCATTCGCCTTCCTCTCCTTCTCCATCACCTCCTTATCCTGCCTTTCCGCCCTCCTCCCACCGTCCTCCTTCTTATCCTCCTTGCTCACCGTCTCCTTTTCCTCTTTTCCTCCCTCGCCCCACCTTCTCCTCTCTCACCCCCTTCTCCCTTGCTTTCTCCTTCTCGTCCTCCTGGCCAGCATGTCGCAACTTCTTCGCAAGGAGGGGTCGCATACGCTATAAAGCGCATCATGTGGCCGATTGAGCAAGGTATGACGACAATGCGGGAAGCCAAAGCTTCACAATCGAATGAGCGCCGCCACGCTGTGGCTTAGCTAACCAGGCTACATCAATACGACTTCGACGTTGTATCCATTACGGTGCATAGGCGTTTTGTTTTATGACGGGATGGTGCAACACACTACATGCCGCATGTCAGCTTCTGCATTTCTTAACCTGACACACTTTGTGTGCCAGCCTCTGGCAGGTCATGGTATTGGGGTTAGGTGGGATTGTTTCGGACATCATTTTCCAATGTATGCTTCGCCATCGTTCCATCTATTGTTTTGGCATGGTATTTTGCTGTGACGTGTAGCTTTGACCCCAGCTTCAAATATGGCTGTTGTCTGGGTCAGAGATCCTCTGAATTCTAGCACCCGCGGTTCCAGACGCCACGAGAGGGCAGCAGGGGACACCCTGGCCGAAGTTGCAGCTTTACCTTTAGCGGCCTCGCGGCACGCCACCCAATCGTATTTGATGTACTTTTTTGCTGTCAGCCTTCTGCTGAGCACCACCGCCGCCGTGGCGGAACCTCCAATCATTAAGATGTCGTGTCCAACGTCAAGGCTTTGGCTATCAGCCTTTCGCTTTAGCAGTCGTTCGTGTTCCTAGCTTGGCCTTTAGCCTAGCTCTGGCTGTGCTCTTAGCTTCAGCCTTAGCTTCGGTTGTAGCTTTATGCGTTAGCCTTCGTGGTGCCTCGGTGTCGTTACTTTGTCTAGGGTTTTGGTTTTAGCCTTTGTTCTCGGCTCGGACCGAAGCATTTCGCCTCATGTTTTTTTCTTGAGCGTTGCCAGGCGTTCAGCCCTTGTTCTACCTTCATCTGTGGCGTTATTTTAGATGTGACTTTTGGCTTCGCTACCGTCGTGTTGCCGCGGCCCCGTTGCCCTGACTTAGTTGTTCGCTTAGATCAGACTTTTGGCTAGATTTCGCTTAGCGTTGACACTGCTATTGACCCTAGCTTCTAGCTTTCTTTTTGAGCTTTATGTTCAGCCTGAGACTGCGCAAGTAGTCTTTTGCTGTTGGTCGCTTAGCTCTCTCTTCAGTTTCGCGGTGTCATGCTGTCACGGTGTTTGGGCGTATGCTTAGTCTTCAGCTTATATGTTGGCGGGGAGTTGCATGAAACCTTTGCTCAACTACATCTCCAGTTACCATCCTTTATTGAATCGCTTCGCTCATTCCGCCGGCCCGTGATATGGCATCGCTGGTTTTTGTCTGTGTGTTCGTTGCCCATGTTGCGCTCTTGGGGGCGGGTGTCGTTCGGACGCGTTGCGTGGGGAGTTTTGATGGTGAAGCAGTTCCCTGGGGGTCGTCTCTCGATGGGGCGAAATAGAGTCGTCGTCAAGATGCTTCTTTGGGGGGCCTCTTGGGGTCTGTTGAGAGGCCGTTCGGGGGCGCCTGGGAGACATGTTTGAAGCCTTCTGGGGCTTCTTTTGGGCCTCCTGGGAGTCTCCTGGGGCCTCTTGGCGACATCTTGGGGCCTCTTGGAGGCCTCTTGGGGCCTCTTTGGGACCTCCTGGGCGCCTTCTGGGACGGAGGGCTCCATTTTTGAGTTCTCGGTATCCCTCCTGAGTCCCTCTTGGGCCCGTCTTGGGGCCTCTTGGTCCGTCTTGGGCGGCACTTGGGCCGTCTTGAGGGCTCTCTTGGGTCGTTTCGGCGCCGTCTTGGGAGCTTCGTGGGCCGTCTTGGAGCGGTCTTGGGGGCCTCTTGGGCCGTCTTGGAGCGTCCGGAAGCCGAAAAAGCCAGAACACAAAAAACATCGAAAAAACCAATGAAAATCAACGATTTTGGCCTCTTGGGGCTCTCTTCGGAGGCCTCTTGGAAGGCTCTTGGGGCGTCTTGGAGGCCTCTTGGGCTGTCTTGGGGGCCTTTTGGGCCGTCTTGGGGTCATCTTCGGCGTCTTCGAGCGCTCTTTGGGCGTCTCGGGGGCCTCTTGGGCAGTCTTGGGGGCCTCTTGGGGCACTCTGAGCGCGCTCTGGGGAGCCTGAGAGGCCGCACCCAGAAGGAAAACCATCTCTGAGTAGACTTGGTCGGGCGGCGGTCGGGGTACTTTTCGCCGGGGGACCCCCAGCGGCCGCCCCGCGCGCGCGAACTAGAAATACTGTTAATACTGTTAACCAGTTGCCGGAGATCTTAGCACGCCCTGGCCTGTTGGGCCGGCGAATTCAACTAGTAATACCGGCTTATTTCCGTGAACAGCGAATGCGATATGGGTTCCATTTGCATTGGAAGAACCGGTTTCTAAGTTCTATAGAACGCAAACCATTTGCCGCCCGCTGTGCCGTGTCGTACCCGTGCCATGCACGTGTCGTGCCGTTCCCACGCTCGGGTGAGAAACATGTGCCGCCCGTGCTCCGTGCCGTGCCGTGTCGTGCCGTCCCAGTGCCGTGCGCGTGCCGCGCCGTGCCCCGTGTCCAGGATACGCGACGTGTGCTTCCTGCGTGCCGTGCCGTGCCCGTGCTGTGGTCGTGCCGTGCCGTGCCCAATCCTGTCATGGGACGGATCTGCTGCCAGCGCGCCGTACCCTGCCCGCGCCGCGCTCGTGCCGTGCCGTGCCTAATTCCAGAGTGCGAGAGACGTGCTGGCCGCGTGCCGAGCCCTGCCTTGCGCGTGCCGTGCCCGTGCTGTGCCTATTGTTCAGAAGGCGGAGCACGTGCCGCCCGCCTGCCGTGTACGGTCACGAGGGCAGCCAGCGGAGCAGGACACGAGGCTCGCGCACGCGTCGCCCCCCCATCATCGACCGCATGTCCGTCGTTTCCGCTTCTATGCAGAGACAGCGTGTGCCGACACACGCGCAACTGCTCGTGTACAAGGCATCATATTTAGGGGAACGAAGAATGACATAAACATAACATCTCGGAGGTCCGCGCGGATTTCTCGGATCGGCGCTGGACCCCCCTCCCAGGCGCGCGGAGCGCGCCAGGAGCGGCGCCGGAGGCGCCGCCAGGGGGGTCAGCGCGGAGCCCAGACCTCCGAGTTTTATGTTTATGGCATTCTTCGTTTGCTTAATATTGGGCGGACGGGCGTGCTGCAACTCGCACATGCAATTCTGTCATCATTTCTTATACTACTTGCCCGATGTTCGTGTGGTATTCAAAGCCAGCCTGCGAGGCGATGCCCATGCTGCAGTGCAGCGCTT